TAACAAAACTTTCGCGGCAGAGGACAAGGGTACTTAAGTAATTACAACCAAATGCAATAACACGGATCTGAAGATTCTGAACTGAAATTTCCTTACTCTCCCTTCTCTTCCCTTTTCTTCCCTTCCCTACATCCTTGGATTAATTCGCCTTTCAACCTGATTTGTTGGGAATTCGGTCCAGCTTCGTTCGGATCTCGATTTCGAATTAATCGATCAAAATGTACGGATTCGAAGCTATGACCTTCAACATCCATGGCGGGTATCTGGAGGCGATCGTGAGGGGCTACAGGGCCGGCCTCCTCACTGCCGCCGATTACAACAACCTCTGCCAGTGCGAGACTCTCGACGACATCAAGATGCACCTTTCCGCTACTGAATACGGGCCTTATCTCCAGAATGGTACGTTTCGGTTTCTTCATATCTATTAATTTTATTGATCTGTTCGGAATTTTGATATACAATTTGAAGTCAAGTGCACGATCGTGAATTGAGTATTGAGCTGAGTGTTATGAGGTCGAATGGCGTTTAATTGTAGCAGGAGAGAGCTCTGCCTGATGTAATTCGATGTTTTGTGTTTTTTCTGGATATGTAATGCCCTGTTTGTTAGTTATGGCTGCCTTCTAGGTTTTGCTGAATTCGTAAAATTCTTTTTAAGTACAATTAAAGGGTTTTTTTTTTTTAAAAAAAAAAATCTTATAAAAAAAGTTCAACATAAACAGTCTTTAGAATGCTTAAGATCTGCCTCTCACAGAATTATATATATTTATGTAGTTGTATTTGTGTGATCATAGTGCAGTGGTATGCTGTCTGTCGATTTTCATCGTCTGATATACTGCGATGTTTATTCACTTTCCACCGAGCTGGATGTGTTAAATCATTTTATTTCATTCTAATCATCTTTGGTTTTAACATCACTTATCTTATGTCCCTTATCTATGCTTGCAGAACCTTCTCCATTACATACAACCACAATTGTGGAGAAATGCACTCTTAAACTGGTTGATGAGTATAAGCACATGCTATGCCAAGCCACAGAGCCATTGTCAACATTCTTAGAGTATATCACGTATGTGGACTTTACATCCCTCTGTTTATTTTTTCAACTATGCACCTGAATTTCTATCCCATCTCCAGCTGATTCTTTTAGAGGGTTCAAGACAAGCCCTCTCAAATGTAGACCTAAAACACTTGTCATTTCTATAGTCCCATTCAAATACTGTGGCATCTGTGTTTCTGATTATTCATTAGAGACTTGGTTTTAATGAATATCGTGGATTATAACCACCATGTACTGGATGCTGCTGATGAGTTGAATATTGAGAAGAATCATGTTATAGTAATTGATTTGATCAGATTTAGACATTGGTGCCATTTTCTGGTCAAATCAAGTTTTTTTAGGTTCATCCTCAAAAGTTTAGGCTAGTTGGCTGGCTGCAGGCTAGCCCTCTGCACCTTTGAGTCTGTAACTGTGCATTTGCTTCCACAGTGAAATGAGGGTTCTATGTGTTTTGAACGGTGGAGAGATCTATTTTGATGTTATTTAAATTTTGGAAGCTTTAGTAATTGCTAGTTATCAATGAAAAAGGCTAATATCTCACCTGATTGATCCAGATATGGTCACATGATAGACAATGTTGTCCTAATTGTCACTGGAACCTTGCATGAGAGAGATGTTCAGGAACTGTTGGAGAAATGTCATCCTTTGGGTATGTTTGACAGGTATATAGCCTTGCATGAGGTTGCTTTTAACTTTTTGACTGCATAAGATATTGACTTAATTTTCATTATTGCCTCAGCATTGCCAGCTTGGCAGTCGCTCAGAATATGCGTGAGCTTTATAGATTGGTTCTTGTTGACACACCATTGGCTCCATACTTTTCTGAGTGTATTACATCCGAGGTATAGAGTTAATCGGTTTTTCTTCTTCCTTGTACATTGTCTCTGTTAATGCTTCATTGGCATCCAAAAGCTTCATATTCTACATTAACTTTATTGTTCATATGATATGTCCATTGTACGGGCATGTGCATTGCCAAAACTCAACTTGATATTGGGTGGTATGGAAAACTTGAGTATTATAATATGGAATGATTTAACATTTTTTTTTCTTTCCTACTTTTTGTTCTTTTGACAAAATAGTTGATTTTTGAATTATTTTCATTTTGGTTTATCTGTAGGAATTGGATGACATGAACATTGAAATTATGAGGAACACACTTTACAAGGCATACCTGGAGGACTTTTACAGGTTTTGTCAGGTGGGAGTTAATTACTAAAATTGGAAGAAGAATATCCCATTTTTTAGTGTATGCATTTATTTTAACTTGCTGTTGTCTCATCAAAGTTTTATATGATTTACCCAACAGAAACTTGGTGGTGCTACAGCAGAGATCATGTCTGACCTTCTGGCCTTTGAGGCCGACAGGAGAGCTGTCAACATCACTATAAATAGGTACCCTACTTGTTGAATTAATTTGCTTTGAAAAATTTCATCACCATTGAGGGATCTCGAGTTGATATTATAGAACTTTGTTCATGTCTGATGTGGTGTACACTGCAGCATTGGCACTGAGCTTACTCGAGATGATCGTAGGAAATTGTACTCGAATTTTGGTTTACTGTGAGCCTTCTACACAAGCTGAATTTTCTTATTAATTTATTGTTGGTTGCTCCCTTGAAATATCTATTTCTGATTGTGGTTATTTCTGCAATACAGTTATCCCTATGGCCATGAGGAACTTGCTGTCTGTGAGGATATAGATCAGGTGAATTTTGGGTTTTACTCTGTTGTGTTATCATTCTTGTGCCTGGTCCAAGAGTGCCCTTTCTTTCA